CAACTTTTCAGTGACTGCTTTTAAGGAAAATAATCCCAATACAGCTCTGAGGTCATTGAAAACATGGTGAAGCCTTTACTTGTTACAGGGTGTTTACTGAGAGTGGAAAAACACCAGGCCCAACTTTCCTGGACAGCTGTCCTTTAGAGACTTAGGCCACTAAAATCATGTCTACCTTCCAGGAAGATAAGTCAAATGAGTAGACAGCATTTAAGGCCTGGAATACTAAGGTATTGAATTGCCCTCCTTACTGTGGTTAAAACTGCAAAAAGGTCAGTTTTTGTGTCTTCATATGAGGATCAGCCCTCTCTAGTTCTCCAGCACCAGGTCCCACCCAATGTCCCTGTTAGCCCTGGTTATTGCAGCGGGCAGCTCAGGGCCAATGCTCCTGCCATCCCTGAGTTAAGCATTTAACAGGTGGGGTTTGCAGTGTCTCTAAGACATCAAGTGGAAAAGTCCAGTGGACTACTGGGTTTGAAGCTCACATGATGATCCTGAGCTGGAGATCAATATTTAGGAGTCATTAGAGTGGTGTGCCCGGTTAGGTGTGTACGGGATGGATGTTCTCCCCGGGAGCCTGCAAGTGTGTAGAGAGAACCCTGCCAAAGGCAGCACCCAAGCCCCAGCCTGTCACAGGCTCTCCTCTGCTGTGTTAGACTACTGCTACTCTTGGCCACGCATCTGCTTCACTCACTCCTTTCAGTCACATTCTGACTCCAGAGCAGGCCTTCACGGGTGTCCTCTGTGTCCTCCCATCTGATCAACAGCCTTCAGCTGGCAGCCTCATTCATCCTTAAGCCAGTTGCTCTGATGTCACACCTGGTACCACATAGAACTTTAGGCTCCTAATCATTGTTGTTTGCTATTCCAGGAACAGTGCCCTCCTTCCCTAGAAGGCATACTGTAACTTCAGGTTCATTTCAAGGACTCTGGCTTCATTTTGCATTCTTAAATGACTATGAAAACTTCTATCATCTCTTTCACTAAATGATCATTTCTGAAACTACATGCATTTTAATTACATGAACTTAACTGTATGTGCAGTGGAGGGGGGAGAAAAAGAGGGGCTTTGGGAGAGAGGGAGATAGAGAAAGATAGATAGGAAGGGAGAGGGAGAAAGATAGATAAAGATAGATTGGGGTGGGGAATAACCCGGAACATCAACTTTCCACTCAATGAGTATAAGCCCTGAAGTAGACATGAATGGGTAACTTAAATCTGCCATCCCTTCATTCCTCTAAGGCCAACATTGAAAGATAAGCATTTTGCAGACAGCCTATAGATGAAAGCCACTAGACTTCATCTGAGGTTCAACTAAAGAAAAATATATTTGCTCCCACACAGGCATAGGGGGACATCACATCTTCCAAAGTGATGTTCAAGGGTAATGTGATTTTCACCTTATTCCCTAACTTTGGAAACTAACCTTGCATAATTCCAGCCAATTACCAGTCCCCACTCTGGCAGGCATACAATTCCACTGCTCCTCCATGAACATGCTTTATTATATCATGCTTTATAAAGATCTACTACTATAGAGTAGAGTTTCCATATATACGATGTGGTAAAATAAGAGTACACTCTGAGGTGCTAGGGTGCTGGCAGCCATATAGCTGTAGGAAGTAACCAACCACCTGGCAGATGGCAAGTTCTGACAATTTGGGGGGAATTTCAACTGATGGGCCTGTTTTTAAGCTGGAAATAACTCAATAAAGGGAAAAAAAACACTGACTTGTGTTGGGTTCCTGCTGTGCATCAGGCACTGTGATAGCACTCTACATTGTTATTTCTTTGGACCTGCACAGCACCCTGTGGAATTATCGAAGTCTTTGTTTACACTTGAGAAGTCTCAAGCCCAGAGATGTCAACTCTCCAGGCACACTAGTAAGTGGAAACCTGAAACCAAGGATATATCATCAAGAAGTCCTTGCCCTTTTTGTTCTAAACTGTAGAAAGAGAGTTTGACTCACAGATATCAGAAACAAAGAGGCAGTTACCTGGGCCAGCCACCTCAGAACTGAGCTGCAGACATTCTAAGTGGGAGTGGGGAGGAGTATGCAAAAAGCCACAAGCCCATTCTGAAATTCTAATTCTGGTCCTGCGCCAGAGCTTGGGGAACTGTGTTCTGTGACTATTGGGCATGAGCTATGTTTTCCTTCCTATATGGGACAGTAACTATGTGCACAACAAATGCAAGTTAATGTCCTATTAAAAGAGAGTCCTACTTTCAGGGAGAAGAAAGGTTTCCGACTGAGAGAGAAAAAAAAATCACAGTAAAAGTGAAGCCAGGAAATGTGGGGAGGCAGAACACTGCCATCACCAAGATCTCAGGAGGCAAGTATAAAGGGGAGGAGTTGGCTGTGGAGGGAGCCAGTGCAGAGAACAGCAAGGCTGCCCACCTGTAGTTCCATGGACCACATAGGCATAGACAATGAGCATGAGGCAGTAACCATAATGGACTGAAGATAAGAGACCCCACCAGAATGTTCTGAACAAGCTGTCAGGACTCTTGTGTAACTCTAGGAAGGAGCAACCGCCTCCAAAGATGGCATGTTTTGGACATCTGGTATACTCGTGCGAGTAGGTACACTAAGCCAAATTTAATTTGATGCAGAAAAATTAAATAATGTGATATTTCTTGCAAAAAAACAGAATGACAAAAAGATAGGAGGAAATAGGTATCAGGACTTATAAGTAGAAAGTAGAGAAAGGCAGATTTCACCTTAATATAAGAAAGCATTTTTTGATCAACAACTACATGATGATAAAATGGACCCCTCAAGAGAAAGCAAATTCTTTATCCCTGGAGATTTTCAAGCTAAGCAGATCCCCTACTTCAGGGATGTCACAGAGCAGATTGCAACATGGGCTACAAGGTTGGATTAGATCATTTTTATATTAAAAAACTCTGAGATTCTGTGAGTCAATGAATGAAACAGTGACTACCTATACTAATAATTAATAAAAATATACTGTTATTAATAACTGATAACCATGTTAGATTAAAGACACATGGCAAGTCAAACTCCAGGCTTGTACCTAAACCCAGAGTTACTTTATCATCTAGTTCTCAGGGTTTCTCAGGGTCTCTGTCCATCACCCCAACCTATGTGGCAGCAAAACCTTTAAAAATCCAAAAGAGTGGTCCCGTGCCTACAAGGAAATACAGTTCCTTTTATGTTTCCTGCAAGATCATACTAATAATTGTCCTTGAATAAATCTCTGTAGATTATTTCCTTTATCATTTAACCAAGTATATCAATTACTGCCTAGAATACACTTTGTTTATGCATTTTCAGACAATAAAATGAATACCGTTGATGAATGTACTTAACCACTTTGTTCTACTTTGCAGACTAGTTGGTTTTTGTTTGGCTGGTACAGTATCCTTTAAAAATTGTTTCCAAATACTTTTAGAGAACATATGTCTAGCTCTTGTTAGTCACAGATCTCATCCTGCCTAATTGCATTATGTCGGCTGCTTCATACTTCATGTCACATACCAGTTCCTATAGATCTGCCCTTGTCAGTCTTCTAAGACAATCAACAAAGAAGAGCCATTTATTCTCAATGGGTTTATATAGTGTCAAACACAAACCATTGTTCCTCATTATTTGCCTGGTTTGTGCCCATGCATTTAGCTAGCACAGACCTAGGAGCAGCATCTTACCCTTTCTCAGTATTTGTACCCTTCTCTCTGCTCCTAACAGATCTCCGTGTACCTTGGGTATCTGTAATAAATACTGTCATACTGAATCAAAAAGTATGTTTTCCATCAAGACAGGACTAAGAACTGGAGATACTTAGGGGGATGGATGGGCACAAAAATGCACACTTAAGTTAAAAATGAATATTAAAATCAATGTTTCAGTCTGGTTTTGAAAATGTAGATGTGTTTAAGCTTGTGGTGACTGTAAAGCATAATATTAGCAATAGGAATGATGATGCATACAGGAAAGTTCTTTCTTACCAGAATGTTTCAAGAGACCATGAGGGATGCAGGACAAAAGTTTGTGTTCTGCAAAGAAACTCCAAGGCCTAGGGTATTGGAGGACCACTGGGTGGCATTTGCTTTCCCAAAAGTTCACAAACTATAGTTACAGCAGCTCCAGATCTCATGCTTCTCTTGTTTTCACCTCTCCACCTAATGCCTAGAACAGTGCTGGGCCCAGTAAGCATCTGAGCACAGTTATCAATTGCTTGATTATAACTGCTAACAATGAAATGCATACAACTTACAAAATGTCCACGAAAGTGGTGAGTCTTACCTTTCAAGTCTCCTGATATCACAAACTGAATAGCAGTTTTGCCTCACATCTTTTTCCAAACATGTAGCTGATGCTCCAGAATCGACTTCCTGGTACAGTCTGCATAAATGAGGGTGAGAATCCCCAGGACGCATCAGAGAAGTAGCCCAGGGTCTCTCTATGTCGTGGTCCCATTGTGCTTCTCTGGTGGCCTGTTGGAAGGACTCTAGCTTGAGACCCAGGCCATCCCCTGCATCTGGGGAGACACTGTCCCTCCAGCTGTCCTCTTGATCCATGCTGGGGCTCTGCTCTGAGTCAGTGCATGTTGCCCTGGTAAATTCTTTGTCTGCCAAGAGCTCAGGTGTCTATTAAAACAAATACTAAGGATTATTAGATCCATGGTACATACTGAACAGAATATAAATATCAGTTCTTTGAAAAAATAATAAGTTTTTATTTTCATGTAATTGTAGAACAGAGCAGTTAAGAGATGGGCTCTTGGATCATCTTCCTTCTGCCAGGATTCCAGCTCCCACTGACCCTAAGCAACACACTTTACCATCTCTAAGCCCCTTAGCTTGGAGCCATTGGAAGCTCTTGGTAAATGTGTTACTTTTTTAATAAAAAATGTTTCAAAACTTAGACAATATGGAAACAGAAGTAACAATGACTCTTTACTCCACTTTCCGATAGGAAATGTATTTTTAAAGTTTCTTTATGTTCAAGATAGATAGCCCATTTTCATAGACTCATTTTCTTTCCCATCATGATGCCCTTTCCTGGGTCTCCTCCTCACTTCTCCAAACATTATTTGATTTTCTTCAACTGTTTACATTCCAATTGGGCCTGTTATGTTCTAATTTTAATGGCCTGCTATGATATGCTAATTCCATTCAATTTTCTATAGAAAAAAACCTGTACTACAGTAGAAAATTATGTATTGCCCATAGTACAACCTCTGGGTTACCTGACTCTAGCTGTATTCATTGATCTGGGCTATTTCATAACTCTGTATAAACATGTTGCTCTTTGTAATCTCTTTTGCCCTGTCTTAATATCTGCCTGTTTCCCCCATTGAATGAATTAGATAAAATCTTTAACAAGTGTTCATTTTATATCTATATGAGAGTTGTGATTTTATCTGAAAATTATCTTTTAGCACTTCCATCCCATGACCTACAACTCTGATGCATTACAGGACATGGACTTTCAAGCCAGACAAGGCTGAGGTGCTGTCTACACCCTCACCTATAACAGAGGTATATTTACTCTGCCTATCAGCCTAGTTGTTTCCTTACCTGTCTGATTCCATCTCCCCACAATGAGATGGAACCCCAAATATGTACTTTTTTAAATTATAAATCATAAACAGTTATCACTCTACTGATATACAATGTACATTATAAAAGGTGTACCAAAAATCAAAATTTTAAATGGATAAGACAAAAAAAATAAATAAATAGGAAAAGCAATTATGTTTTCTCTCTTACTCCTTGAGAGACCTCCAAAATCTCATTTTTACCCACCCCTCTCCTTCCCGCTCATCATTCCCTGTACTCACTCTTCAACAATCCTTCAATATCTTCAAGGCTTCCAGTGGATGGACCTGCTGCTTTTTCACCATCATTTCCCATCCCAGCTACCAATGTTCTCACTTTCTCTTTACTCTACTAAGATTCCATGGTCTGCCCCATAAACACTCCCTTAAAAACAAAGAAAGCCCTGAGCTCCCATCTTCTTGCCCCTCTCTGCCTCCATCATATATTACTATCAGGTGCTGTATTTTAATTCCAATTCTTAATGACACTATGTATATGTGGACTTTGCACCTGCTTCTGAAACAATGACTAATGCCAAATGTATGCATGCAGATGTCAAATGGGCACTCAGGACTTCTAGATCTTTCTCTGCTTCCTTAGTGAATTCATTTCCTTTTCTCTCTACTCTCTAAATTGTTTCTCATTTTCTCTCTCTTCAAGTCTCCAACAACCACCACTTCACCACCTTACCTCTTACTTCATGGTAAGAATGAACATTCAGATAAGAATCCTTCATCTCTCCATAATAAATTCCACTCACTAGCTTGCATCCCTACCCCAACATCCTCCTTCACCAGCCGCCCAATTTCTCTGCTCTTCCAATTAGTGCCTACACTCATTATTTCTGTATCTCCCCCTTTTGCCTGTACCCACTCTAACCAGGCTTCGGTCTCCATCATTTAGTCCCCAAGTGAAATTGCTCTAATCAGGGTCTCTAAAGCCAAAGAACAATTCTCTGTCCTCATTTCACTCTACCTCTCAGCAACATTCAACACAATTGGTCCCTTATCCTTCTTGAGAGTGTCCTTTACTTTACTTAAGTGTGAAGTTCACTCTGAACTCCATCCTTACCTGGTTTTCCTACCACCGCCCAGGCCACTTCTTCTTGGCCCCATTTGCTATCTTATTTCTTTGAACTGGACCTCTCAGTGTTGGAGTGTACCATGGCTTACTTCTCAGCCTTCTTGACTTTTTCTATACTCTTTTCCAAGGTGGTATCATCCATTTCATAGCTCTAAATGGTGTTATTTGCTGACAATTTCTAAATCTCCTTTTTCCAGCCCTGACCTCATGCCAATTCTCCACAAATAACTGCCTACTAGACATCTTCACTGGCTGATCCAAGAGCCCATCTCTTAACTGCTCTGTTCTACAATTACATGAAAATAAAAACTTATTATTTTTTCAGTTTTATATGCTATCAAGAACTATTGCTTCTTCTCCACATACCATAACTGCTCTAAGCACCTCCTAACTTGGTAAGTGGTATCGCCATTCATCCAGTTGTTCAAGCCAAACTTTGTTTTCTTCCCCCATAACCATATCTAAGCCAAAAGTAATCCTATAGGCTCTACATCTCAGATGTACTCTCAATTCAACTACTTCTTACTAACTCTTCAGCTACAACCTGAGTCCAAGCCATAATAATATATACCTAAAAGACTGCTGCCTTACCAGCTCCCGTCCATCTCCACCAGCAATCTGAGTGATCTTTCTAAAGCATATATCAGATGAGAGTATGTTTCTGCTTAACCCCTCACCCTCCCACCACCATTCTCTCCAGTGACTTCCTGTTGCAGCTAGGATGGAATCAGCGCATTACAAAAACCTACAAGGTCCTACAAAATGTGTCCCCAACTGCCTCTACAACTTCTTCTTTCAATCTCATTATTTACTACAGTCCAGTCACCAATTGTTATCTTTTTGTCCATCAAACATCTGGGTCACTCCTATCTTAAAGCCTTTGCCTTCGCTATTCCTTCTGCCTAGAATAACCTTCTTCTAGATGTTTGTATAGCTACTTCTTTCTCATAAGTAGTTTATTTTAGTTATGAACTTACTTATTTCTTTGATCATCAATCTGACCTCTGAAGCAACACGAATGAAAATTCTTTTCCACTTGGCCTCACGTAGGAGGAGAGCTATAGTATGCCCTTCATACCTTACCCCAAGCCCTCCCACCAAGCTCTTCTGGCCTCTCTTGGGTAGAACTATTCTCTAGGACAGAGGACAACTTTTTCTCTGGCATTTCCTAGATATCTCAACAAAAATACATGTACAAAGCCCCTCAGCCTGATCTCTGTGTGTACGAAAATTGACCTCTCACCCAATGCAGCTCTGAGAGGCCATCTCAGCTCCAGAATTCCCTGTGGGATCAGCAGAAGCCCATTGCAGCTGTACCACATTTTTTTCCCTCCTGCCCACCCCTGTTTCCCTCACCCTCCCAGGGGTGTTCCAAGAGCCAGTCCTATAAACTTCCTGCACTCAAATCTCTGCTGCAGAGTCTGTGTCCTGGGAACTCAACAGATGACATTCTAATGGATAATTTTAAGTGCTAATTTAGCTAAGCCACAGTACCCAACTATATGGTCAAACACTAGTCTAGATGTTTCTGTGAATGATTATTTTATGTAAGAGTAATGTTTAAATCAGTAGATTTGTAATAAAGCAGATTACCCTTCATAATGTAGTGGGCCTTATCCAATCATTTGAAGGTTTTAAGAGAAAAAGATTGAAATCTCCAAGAAAGAATGAATACTGACTCCAGACTTATGCTGTAACATCAACACTTTCTGGGTTTCCAGCCTGCCAGCCTGCTCTACAGAATTAAACTGGCCAGCCGCCGCAATCACATGAACCAATTCCTTAAAATTTCTCTCTTCTCTTCTCCTCAACTTCTCAATCTCTCTCTCTCTCACTCTCCATTTTTGTGCACTTGCTATTGGCACACATATGTACATATACACATACACATCTTATTGACTCCATTTCTCTGAAGAACTTAATATAGGCATCAGGGTAAAAACTCTGGATTTTCCTGGTTCCCATGCTCTTTTCTTTGCACTAGGCTACATGTGTCTAATTCATAATTTAGGAGGGTGAATACACATCCTATTCTCCATTTCATTCTCTGAATGGAAATTCTTACCTTTCCTCACTCTGATTTTTGTATCCCCTCTCTGATGCTTGGGCTGCCAGAAAGACTGGCTCTAGAGCTCTCATGGTCAAAATCTAAATACATAACTATCTACAGGAAGATCCAGATGTCAGGAGAAGCAGAAGAAGGGAGGGATAGGAAAAGGCATGGATAGGACTTCATGAACTTGTTACTGACCAATTGAGGTTTGGGGACTAGCTATTTTCCTGCCACAGTGAGAGAAGGTGGCATTGAACCCTACCTAAAGCAAAGGTGGTCTTCTCAGGACCCACCAGACAGGAAGAGGGGTACCTGAACATGAGGCATGTGGAGAGATCAAGGGCACTGTATCTTACCTGCCATCCCTGGTCCATCTCAGGCAGCACACCTGGAGGGGGTCGGCAAAGCAGGAGCGTGACTTCCTGTGAGGCCCCTCGCAATAAATGGAGCACCTCCTACAAGTAACCAAATTCTACAGTTAGATGTGGGGCTGGAATGGCTATGGGGTCTGCTCTTCTGTGTTTCCCACTATCTCCCTAACACTGGCAACTCCACCCTACCTTGATTTGTTTCTCAGGTCCAGAGAACTTTGAAGGATATCACTATGGGCCTGACTTCCCAGACAGAGTATGGGAGTCAAGGCTGCTGGCCTGCAGCTTCAGGGAAGGTAAAGCACTGAGGTTGGGCTGAAAATGGCCAGGGTTTACCCAGGGCCTTTTCATGGCAACATCTGTCAATACTGATACCTTTTCTTCAGAGAGACAATAATTCAAACAAGTGACTTTCCTTCTCAACCTCCCTTTCCACTCAAGCCCCTCATCTCAGGGCCACCAGTCATATAGGTGTCACACTCCAATTTCTGCAGCCTGACCCTCAGCCCTGAGCTCAGCTCAGATCCTTGGAACCCCTCACCTATGGTTCTCAGAGAATCGTTCTTGGATCTGAAGCTGGATTAATGAAGGCATCCCCACCCAAACATACACTGTTCTGGGGATTGTCTACCCCTCCCCATGCTACCCAGAGCCCATCTCCTCCTTTATCCAGGTTGCCCTGTGCTCTGGAGGTGGGCCTGTGCAGGCTACAGTGAGGCTTCCTGTTGGGTTCACCCAATGCCGGCATGGGCAGGTATCAGAGACAAGGAGGAGAAGAAGGTTGGTGTTTGCATACGTTGAGTTGTCACAGGGTGACTGCACCCCCAGCTAATGTCACAGCTCATATCAGTGAGTCTGCTCCATTAAGGATAATTGTTCCTTCCCATATCCCTTTGGACTTGGGAAGGCAGTGGATAACTGTACCCCTGTTCCCTTTATTAATCTCTTTTCAAATGACTTTTCTGCCAACACCCTGACTGATATGTACACTATTTCATGGAGCTTTGTGCTATAAGTATCGAGAAGCATTTCATTCTCTTTTTTTTAACTACATTTTTATCATACACAGTGCAACCAATGCACTGCTATGCATCAAAGGCTGTAAATTTAGTAGAAAAGGGAGAAGAAGGGCAGAAAGGAACCCCATGTAGTCCCTTCAGCCTTCATACCCACCTCCCAGAATGTGAGTTAGGAGATCTTTAGCTAGCACAGAAGCCAGGGTTTTATCTTCAGTTTTATTATGAACCTAATTAGAAGCCAAGCTTAATCTAGGTCAGATATTTAAGAACAAAGATGGAAAATTAAATGTGAGAATGTTCTGCTCTCTCTGTGTGAGCAAAGTCCAAGCTCCAGGTATGATTTTCAAGAGCCCAGAGTATTCCCCGTGGTGTGTGGCCCTGGAAAAAGCATGATTGACATTAGCTTGCACACAAGGCTGCATCATTCATGGCCTCCCACCTGGAAGACGAGGCCTTCTGTGGACCTTCCATTCACAGCCAGGATAATGTCACCAGCTGCAATGGCCCCATTCTCCTCAGCCGGCTGCCCTGGGAAGAGCCGCTTAATTCTCACAAGATCATTCTTGAGGCGGCTGCAGCTCTCTCTCTCCATTTGCACAAAACTGAATCCCAAACCACTAGCATTCTTTTTCAGTTTGACTTCAAACTTAGGACCTGTATTGTGGGATGCAAATGAAACATATCCTTCAGTAGATTACAAGTAAAACTAACCAGACTCAAAATGCAAACTGTCAAGTAGATAAATCGTTTTACATAAAAAGATTTCATTTTGCTAATTTTTATGACGAGTCCATTATACATGTTACAGATCAGTATTGTCCAATATAATGTGAGCTGCAAATACAAACTACATGTGTAATTTCAGTTTTCAAATAGTTACATTTTTAAAGCAAGAAAAAACAGGTAAAATAAATTGAATGATATATTTTATTTAACCCAATATTCTAAAATGTTACCATTTCAACTTGTAATCAATACAAAAATATATTAATGAGATATTTTACACTCATCTCATGAACTAAGTCTTTAGCAATCGAGAATGTGTTTTATCAATTCGGATTGGCCACATTTCAAGTACTTTATAGCCACATGTGACAAATAGTTATCATCTGACAGTGCAATTATAGATAATCAACAAAGTTTATATGTAAAGATATAGTTCATAGACATACATAATATGCCATGGAATTTAGTAAAACTTGTATCCCATATATTCCTAGTACTCCTTTATAACCACAAGCATTTTAATATACTTGGAATTAAATTTTGCATAAGTCAACTATAGAGACAATTACAACCATTTCTATGGAAATGTTTTAGCTGCCTTATTGTTTAGCCATGTAGACTAAAACAGCTGCCTCTGGGCACCCAAGATGGACATAGCCCCAAGGAACTAGGTAGTCTAGCAGCCAAAGAGGCCTCTCAGCCTCCCCTCATTTGCCTTCACCAGCTCAACTGGCAATTAGTCAATAGAGGAGCAGAGCACTGCTTTGTTGAACATTGATTTGAGACAAGAATGAAAGCATCAGAAGCTTTTAGTTTCAAGTGTGTCATATGACCAATTTCATCTTTCCCATATCTGGCCCTTTCAGTCATTTTATAGTCAGTTGCTCAAAGTTCCTCTCAACAGAGGAGCAATGGAAGAGGGCAGACTTGTTTTATGATCACATGTTCCCTTTCCACTTCATCACCCACCATGGCCACCTTGCATTCAACCTGACTGATACCTTCTGGAAAATTTCTATAAAGGGATTGAAACCTGAGTAAGCTCCAAATCATGATATCCTAAGGAAATAAACCTTTTCCTAGCAGGAAACAAAATCACAGGGACATGCAGAGAGGCAACCCATCAGAAGATGTACAACAATGTCTCTATACACTGATTAGGGTTTGCTTTTTTAAGTGATACAAATAACAAGGCTAGTTTCTAAGCATCTCTCTCTCTCAACCTGTTTCATCATTTCTCAGATCTTTTGTTACAAATATCTCTGCTGGAATGTGTCACTTTGGTCGGAAAATGCATGACCCTTTCATTCCAATTTCATTCCCAAATACTTATAACAAATTTTCTAGCAGCTGATCCAAAACCTTCAGAAGGTTTGAGGGCATAATTATGCCTGGTAATCATTTGGAACTATGCATTACTTTTCCAGAAACATATTACATGAGATTGGCTTCTACCACATCAGGAAGCCAGCCGCGTCATGACTGCCACTGCTATCTTTTGAGAACTTAGTGGAAGCCTTCTGCTTTTTCTTTTGAGTTGACAATTCAAAAGCAGCATAGGATGACATGACAATAGTAACATTCAATTCTCTCTCCTCTCACCATCTGTCACTGAGACACAGCTTGCAGGTCTGCCAGGCAAGGCTGTTGCCAAGGAAACAGCCATGCATTCATCTCCCATCCTGTTATTAACAGGACACTGCTGTGCAGTCCTGGGGCCTCTTCTCTCTAAGACCAGTCTTGCAACCTAAAATGATGGGTGGACAAACTCACATTACACTTCATGTGGCACCCAGGAGGATCTATCTTCATTCTGCAAATGATTTTTAATTTTCTAATACTTCCAGTAGCTTCTTCATTTATTTGAATCTCAAATCAAAATCTCTAAGCTAGCCTATTTGTGGGAAACCAGAGCCATGTTTCTGGCTGCCTGTTGGAAAAATTCTCCTGGGGTAATACATGAACTTTTATTTCAGTGTATTCAAGGCCAAATTTATCTTCTTCCCCTTACTCAACCTTACTTTCCCCTCCTCATTCTGCTGAACACACTCTTCTCCATGCATTTACCCTATCAGAACATGGAACCATTCTTCAACTAACCTCCCAGGGACAACACTTGCAATGGTCCAGCTCCCCACCTCCTGTGTTCCAAATACCCATCTGGTTTCTAAGGCTTGAATGTTCTCCATCAGAAATATCTCCCCAGTGATCCCTGTTCTTTTATTCCCTCTCTCGCCAGTTCCCAGCTGGACTGTGGTAAACTTCTTGGCTTGCTGGACCCTACCTCCTCTTCCTGCAGTACACCCTCCTCATGGCTATGCTTAGATTAATCTAAGACATAAATTGAACATGCAACATTCTTGATTAAGATTCTCCAATGTTTCCCATCAGCTTAAGTCTCAGCTCCTAACATGGTATCTCATGCCCATGACAGTCTGTACCCCCTTTCCTTCTGGTTTGATTTCTACCCATCTTCCACACACATTCTGACTCTTGTTACCCAAAGCATGGTTCAAAGCCAGTGGCTAGACATCACTTGGATGCTTTTTAGAAATGCCAAGCTTCCACTCAGAGGACTTGGCCCTGCCAACATCCTTCTGCTGAAATTGTCATTCAGCACTAAGACCATGATCCCAGAGTGCAAATTCCTACCTGTCATTGCTGCCAGCAGGCTGGCCATGTACCTTCTGTAATCATGTTAATTAGCAAAGGTCTAAAGAACAGAGAGTACTAATAAATTATGATTCTGTTCTCAAGATATGTTAACAAAAGTTGCCAATATAAGTAAATCACTGCAAACCAGAAGACTGTTTTGGGAAAGAAGGCAAAATTTGCCAAAAGATGCCCCAAGGATCCTTTCTGTCACTGCCAATTACCAAGAGGGTGCTTCTAGATCTCTGGGGTGTAAGACACTGGGGCAAGTAAAGGCCTCCACCCTCAGGCAGGGGACAGGATACAGAATAGTAACACCCCAATGCTGCCTGGGCACTGCACAAAATAAAGAGTACATAGTGGATAAATGCCTCCAGCTCTTGATGTCTTGAATATCTACCTTATTATAATGGAAGGACTCCCAGGACAGTGTAGCCTGTAATCACACAGTGTAATAGGAATGGTATGAACTGGGTTGGGGCTCACTGTGCAAAAGCAGGTTAGTAAGAAGGCCTGAGAGCAGGTGAGAGCATTGGTTAGTTAGTGCTAGAGCAGAGAGTGTGAGGGGCCAGCCAGAGCCCAGTGGGAGAAGTGGCTTCACTCCATAAGCTCTGTTCAGCTGTGTGATTCTAGAACCTAGGTAAATGACAAATTTTTCAAGGCTATTTATAGGGGTGAGATTTTCTGCTTGGAAACATCTGTCTGCTTTCTCCTGGCTTTTATATCCCCATAGAAAAGTGGTGGTAAAAGGAAGATGCGAAAGAGGAAAAACAGACAAAGAAGAAAGTCCTGTTTTGTTTCCTGCCTACCCACCTCCCACCCAGAGAAAACTACAGCATCAAAGTTGTTCAGGAAAGCTCTGGAATAAGGGAAGCTCCCCAGTTATGGGTTATGTCGCACTCACCTCCCCAGAGCCCTTGAGGCACTGCACAGCCTGCTTGTGGGTGAGGCCACACATACTCACTCCATTCACCTGTAGGAGCCGATCACCTGAGAAAAAGACAAATATCAAGTCCCACGGTTTCTGAGGCTACAGGAAGGACTCTCCTGGAAGGCCCCTGTTCAGTGCCCCTCTGTGCAACCTCAACGAGGGGCAGGAAACAGAGCTATGAGGAGCCCTGCCTGGGCCTGAGTGCCAGCACTGCTCTGAACATCTTCACACACCAGTGACAGAAAAGTCTTTCAATATTGGCTCACAAAGTGATTGAGCCATCCCTGTACCACCTCATCCTTTTTACTGTTTTCCTGTGAAATTGTTTTTGAAAGTTTTTTCCAGTCACTATGGGGTAATATCTAGCTCTAGGATTTTTTTTTTTTTTCAAAAAAGGTCAGGGAGATGTGTTTGATGCCAGGGACATTGGAATTCTAGGGGAACTGAAATAAGATCCTAGGTGCCCTTTTTGGTTCAATTATGACTGTTTGGAAGAACAATATAAATCAGCCCTTCCTTTATAGCAGTAGACATTAGGAAGGGCAGAAAGGAGGCTTACCAGTGTCCTCTCCTGCCAGTAAAATGAGTATCACCAATGCATGCTCTCGCTGCCACGGGAAGCACTACTTCTCTCATGAAGGCCAAACAGCAACACACCTATTTAAAATCTTATATTTTTAAACCACCTTATGGTTACCAGTACCATTACAAACATCTGATTCTCATATGAACCTATCAAGTGGGTAGGCCAGGCTAATTCATTTCCTTTTCCAGGTAAAGAAGCCATGACCTGGTGTGGCAATCATTTGCACAAGTTGTCACAATGGGAGTGGGGCTGCACTTCCCAAGCCAGGGCTCTTGGCACATCACAGAATCCACAATTACCAGCATGACTTCACCCCTCACCCTGAAGGATCTGTCCTTCCTTGGCAGCTGGTCCTCCAGGAACGATGGATTTTATGTAGATCCCTCCATAGAGCACACTTGTGTTAACGCCACCCTGAAAAACACAGTAAAAAACTCACCACCTGTTTGCCCCCTCCTGGAGGGCCTCTCTAACCTCCAACACTAAAAGAGCCCCTATTTGCCAGCCACTCTATCCCATTACCCTATCTCCATGTGACACCATCTTATATATTCACTTATTTGTTGAACTGTATTATCCATGAGCAGTAAAGTTAGGTACTCATAAGAAGTATAACAATATGAGCCGTGTGAGGGAGCTATGCCATATACAGCCCCAGCAATGGCCCATGGCAGGTGCTCAGAAATTGGAGTCACATCAGTGCACCATACTGTCTTTCCATAAGCAGCAACCACTATAGGTAGATACAGCTACGGGCTAGTGCCTGGCACATCCAAAAGCTTGTCCTACATGCTTGTGTTTTGGTTTGCAGACACAAAAATTGAATTAAACTATAGTATTCTGCAACTTAATTTTTCTTAACCTAATAGTTGATCCCAAACATCCCTACAGGCCACTAGATAAAGATCTAAATCTATCTTTTTCTTCTAATTTCTTCATGCATGTATACACACATGTATACAGATTTTTACATCAGTGGTATTATACCATTCTTGTACAGTTTTTTTCCTCCCACCTTCAGGGTCTGCCAGATAGAGATCAGAAACCAAATGCAAAGTGTCCATCCTGAACAGAGGTCTAGCCAACCTGACTTTGTCCTGGCCTTGGAAGTGGGAGCATCAGGCTCCATCATGACTACTCTAAATGACCATGGATTACCCCATTCACCTTTGCTGTGTCTCTGCTGCCCCACCATGCTGCCCTTTCCTTGTTGTCCAGGTAACCTCAGAGTCAGGACCCATCACCCAATTCCAGCCATACTTCTCACCTCAAATTTTTCCTGTGTCTTTCAGTTTGTTTTTGAACTCTTATCCCCCACTAATGCCCCCACCAACTTTCTCAATTTGCCTACTTCCCATGTGCTGCTTGTACCAATGAACACATTATCAAAGATTGCATGTGAGTGGAATGCCCACCAAGGCTCCAGATGAACATTTTTTCAACTGTTTACTCCAAGCTCACCTAATAACACTTACAGTTATACTGAATCCAAATGTCCCATCTTCTTTAGCCAGTTCCACAAAGTAGATCCCACCGGCATTGGCTTCTGAAGATGATGGAAGACAAGAAGAACCAGCACCCTGCCCCAAACAAACAAAAATAAAGAAAACATAAGGGCACTTGCCCTGCCTAAGCAGATGGTACCCCTTAGCTCTCACCTATTCTCGGAAGCTGGCAGCATTACACACCAAAAGGGGCATGAGCCTCAGAGCTGGGCCAACAGGAAATTAGTTCACAATTTTATCAGCTCCTCCCTATATGACACTAGACCAGTTTCTTGGTCTCTCTCTTCTTGGTTTCCCAATCCACAGAACTGGAATGAGAGATCCTCTTCTAACTGTGACTGTGAATGATGCCCAGCACATAGCAGGGGCTCAATAAATGTAGGTCTCTTTCTGTTTTTACTCAGGATGCAAATGTTACTACAAGAAGTCATCCAGGCACTTCCTAGTAGCTTCACACATGACACCAGACAAGTGATGGCATGCTGGATATCAGACACACAGCAGCTTCTTGAGCAAAAGAAAGCCTTGGGAAGACTCTAGAAACAATAGCTGCATTGGGTCTCTACTTTACAGTGGTTGAATGCATGAGGGAAGGACAGAAGGACAGAGATACATGCCAAGCATTTTGGTCAGCACAGTGACAATAGACATATATTTTTTATCCATTCATCTAATCATACTACATTAATTGAGCACCTATTACATGCCAGATACTGCAAGTCGCCAAGGAGATGGCAGTGATGAAACTGACCTGCTGTCTAATAATGAACTACTGTCTAGTGGGGGAGAGATTTTTAATGAACTATGCCCATAAGATGGGTCACAGACACTCTCATTCTTTTGTCCTATCTGTCCCCTTTGCTTAGCTGCTTCTTGGCCCATCATGTTGGAAAACACAATTAATAGATAGGAAACTAAACAAGCTAAAGTAAGCTAACAAATAATCGATTCAACAGAAAAGGTTTCAAAAAGGTTGGTAATGTAACAGAAGAAAAAATTATCCCAGAGACACTCTACACCCCACGGTCTGGCAAGGTGTTTTGTCTAAATTTTAAAATTCAAAGAGTAAAGCAACCACTGAGGCTGAGGTCCAAAGTGAGAGTGTATAAACTCAACTATGCCACAGAAGATTCTCTGCCTACAAAACTTGCCATGTGACCCAGAAGAGGCTGGACTGTACAGGTTCAACCATGGCCTTAGTGCACCATTGCTCTCAACTGCCCACCAAACATCAGCTTGCAAGTTTGCAGCCCCAGAGGCCCCAACCTGAAGTCCTCTTGGCCTTACTACCTGCAAAAAAGGCCTTCCAAAGTGTAGCCCCAGGATGAAGTTTTCCACTCTGGAGTACCCCACCTCAGATTCAAATCCCAGTTCTGCCACTTACTCTCTGAGAGACCATGGGCATTTTCCTTTCCTCTCTTTGTCTCAGGTACTGCACTTATAAAAAGATTGATGATAGTAATTATCTCAGGCTTGTCACAAAGCACATGTGAGATAACATATCCAAGTTCCAGGACTCTGGTTAAGCACTCAATAAATGTCCACTGTTAATCTTGTTTTCTCGTTAACCTTCCATCTGTCTCTTCATGAGACACATCATCCAGGTGAGCACCAAATGCATTTAGGAAGGAATTAACATTCTTAGACCCTACTGTGAGCCAGATCCTGGGCCCTTTTGTCTCCACAGGTTTGTGGACAGGCATCACTATCTCTATCATAAAAGATAAAATTGAAATTGTGAGAGGTGGGGTAACTTGCCCGTGTGAACCAGTCCCAGCAAGAAAGAAAAGGCACACATACTCAACTTGGGTAATGGAGAAGCACTCATATGAAGCCTATCTTCAAAGGTATTGGCAACATTTAGAGAAACTAATAAGGAGAGTTAAGCACCTTGGGCTGGAACAGTGGGTACTGTTCTTTCTCTGAGCCTGATGAGCAATGGAGGGAATAGCTGATGGAACTTAGAGAGCAGTTCTATGGCAAAGAGGAGCATGCTCTTCAGTAATGGGCCATAGCCAACCTGAGCACAGGAAGAGTTATTAGCCTGCCCTCACTCAACCCCCAACAGCCGGCTTCTACTAAACATGAAATAATTACATATAATATTTTTTTACTTAAGGAATACTGTGCCAAGAATGGAGCACAGACATATGTCACACACACACACACACACACACACACACACACACACACAAATTATATATAATTTGTATAACTTTTATATATATTTAAATTTAAAAAATTTATATATAGCCCCCTCCCCCATTCTTGGCACAGAGTTTTTTAAACCCTTATAATTTTCTAAGTGATGTGAGAGTAGGAGCATCTGTTGTTCTAATATTTGGTGTTTGACCCTGATTCCTGATACACAGTTCTTAAATCTCTTGGATTTTCTTGGGTGATAGACATGTCTTTTGTTCTAAAGAAATAACTCTCAGTGGGCTCCTAGATAGCTTTGGGATGGTAGCTGATCACCAGAAAGACCAAGCCATGATTATAAGCTTGGAATTTTCCACCCTACCCCAGTCCCTATCCTCTGGGGAGGGGAGAGGAGCTGGAGATTGAGTTAATAATGATCTATCATGCCAATGTAATAATACCTCCATAAAAATTCTGAAAATATGAGGTTCAGAGAACTTCTGGATTGATGACCACATCTATGTGCCAAGAGGATGCCACACACAACTCCATAGGGACAGATGATTTTGCTCACATGACCCTTCCAGACGTCACCCTATGCATCTCTTCATCTGGCTATTCACTTGTACCCTTTAAAACATCTCGTAATAAATTGGCAATAGCAAGTAAACTATTTTCCTGGGTTCTGTGAGCTGCTCCAGGAAATTATCAAACCTAAGGAGGACGTTGTAGGAACCTCAATTTATAGCCAAGTCATACAGAAGTGTGGGCAACTACTTTTGATTGGTGTCTGAAGTGGGGCAGTCTTGTGGGACTGAGTCCTTAACCCATGGGATCTGGCACTAACTCCAGTCAGTAAGTATCAGAACTGCTTGTTATGGAAATCCCACACATCTGATGTCAAAACTGTTGTGAGTGGCATAAGAGTGTGAGAGTAAAGGAAAGCAAGGAGTTTTTCAGGCACAGGTCTTCTCCTGGGAGGAGCCAACCAGAAGACAGAGAGTGACATAGTCCATGAATATCAGCTTTATGGAACCCAGAGCAGAAAGAAGAAAGGTCTGGAGTTGAGGAAGAACACCCCACCCAGTGTGCAAGGAGACAGAGCTGGAGGGTGGCAGCTCTGGGGCTGAAGCAAATAGTTCTCTGTACACCAAAACCAGCCTTGTCTTCATCCTCCCATGTGGTTGTCAAGAACAAGGCCACTGAGTTACAGCTTGAGGACCAACTAGAGGCCAAGAATATGAGATATCAGATTGTCCATGTACTGCTCTTCGCAGCAACCAATGTTATTACTACTAACAATTGTAATTAGTGACTAAGGACACAGGAGGCTCAAACACTGAGCTCTGTGGTCCAGGCACTATGCTAGGAGCTTTGGCTTTTCCCCTTATATTCTTCTCAACAACAGTGTAGGCATTTATTTCCATTTTGCAAATCAGAAAGCTAAGGCCAGAGGAGTTAATTAATCTCTATCTACCTGACATAGCAAATAAAAAGAAAAGAGAGACTGGAGCTAGAGCTTTTGGGCTCCACAGCCTGTTCTCTTTCCTCCAAAAATCTAGAAAGCAAACTGTGGGGACAATTACCTTTAATGGGAGAATGGACAGCTGAGGCCTCTGCCTGGACAGTAAGCTCTGAGTCTGAGTCATCTCTAGTTCTTCAATATTTCTCTCCTGGTCTTGTGTGTATGATAAAAAACTTCCCTGGTGCCTATTGCTCAGGTTGTCTGTAGAGAAGACCCCAGAACTGGCCATGTTATTCTTCCCCTCTCTTGAGGTATTTCCACAAATACCTATAAAATCAAGCCAAGAATAAGTCAACTGTTTGGAAAGCTGGCATCTCAGTGGCATCTCTTTGTGGCATGCAGCATTTTCCTCCAATGACAGAAAGACCTTTTATAACTACTGGGAACAATATGAATTTAACATCTCATGGAGGACGATGAATTTATAATAAAGGAAGAGAAGATCCTGGATGTGATAAACAGAGCTTTGTGACACAACTATGAAACACAGTAGTAACAGAGAGTTAATAATGCCAGCTCCCTTTTATTACGTTTTTGCCATGCAATGGGCATCACACACACACACACACACACACACACACACACACACACACACACACACACACATGCCTTTCCATCTTTTCAGCCTGTGTACTAGAAAGGTTTTATTCCAGTTCAAATATGAGAAAACAGCATCAAAAGGATTAATTAACTGTCCCAAGATCCCCCAAGCAACATGGTGGTGCTCTTAAAGGCAGCCTCTTCCAGAGACCCTGCCGAGCACTCCTATAATCACCATGCAATCCAAAGTACAACATGTCAGGTCCTTTGGGGGGACTTGATAATAACCAGATGATGGACTCCCTGTGGGTGAAGGTTGGGCCACTGATTCCTAAAAACCCCATGTCTGACCCTCGACCTGGCACAGAACAGAAAAAAGATCATGAGGTTGAAAATCAAAAGGTAAAACCTCGGGCAAGGTACTTAATTCTGGACCTCAATTTCCTTATACCCTAAAACAGATAATGTCAGCTAACTTGTAAGGTTGGTGAGGCTTAGAGGTTATATATAGAGATTTCATATATGGAGAGAAATAAGGAAAAATTATAAATTAGTACATGGTAGAACCTCAATAAATGTATGTTAATATTAGCTGCTCCACAAATGTATGTGGGAAGAAGGCATATTAGCCTCAATAAATGTATGTTAATATTAGCTGCTCCACAAATGTATGTGGGAAGAAGGCATACTAGTTAAATTTTCTTTAGATCTGAATATAAAAACATACTATTTTCAATACAGACTCATTAGCACGCAGGGAAGTACCCAAACCCGCATGTTGAGTGAACTTAGTTTACTGAATTAGATTTGAAGCTATTCAAACCTAAATGTATTCAGTAGAGAAAGGTAGGGCCACCAATCTGTAATGCCTTATTCCTGGCCATTTCATTCACAGATTCTGCTGCCACAGTCCTTCTGCCAATGTTTTAAGCATCTGTTCCTTTTTTTCCACACCTTCCATGAGAAACTGATTGAATTAAAAAGTCAAGCTGTGCAACTTGTGTCCTTGGAAATACAAGCTAGGAGACCTTCTGTGGGTAATTAAAACTCACTCTATTGTACACAGTGATGGCTGCTCATGATAGGAATGTTATATCTTGTCCCTGACCTCCAATCTATACCACCTGCCCCAACAGCAGCCTAAACAGGTAGAAATTCATGGCAGTCGAGCCTCTGTTCATGATGACCCATTCAGCCTTGCTGTGGAAAGGTCTTCCTCCAGCAGTGGTGGCAGCTGTGTAAAGAACCCCAGTTGTGAAGAGGTGACATTACCAACCAGTGACTGGGAACCTGTGGTGAGAGGACATGTAATCCACAGGTATTGTGGTTATAGGCATTGTCTAAAATTCTAATGTGAGACTGTAGTTTGAGTCTTCCAGACTTTAGGTAGCAATTTTTGACACCCACCCATCACAGCAATCCATCCTTGAACAATACAATTGATCCCAGCTCAGCTGCATTATGTTTCCTGACAAAAAAAAGGATGATGTGATTACTCCTTTCAGTTTGACCCCTATGCAAAGTGTGGAGAGAAGAACTAAAACATTGTAGGAAGAACTGTGACAATGCTGGAAAATTTAATAGACACAGTGAGCTGGGGCTGGTGTTGTGGAAGTGCTGAGGCAAGCCCCTTGGTCAGCTCCAACCACAAGATGAATGGCGCATGGCTGAGATCTCAGCTTTGCTACTTCCCATCCCTCATGGCTTCTGGACCAGGAGCAGCTGCAAGACCTGGAAGAGCTATCTGGCGATGGTGTGTAGATGTGCAAAAGTGAAAGAGTTTGCATGGTTTTTGGAGGGTGATGCAAATGGGGTACCTACATTAAGGACTTGGAAAATGCTAACTGGTGTGATGTGAATCATTGCTGTACATAAGGGGAAATTGTACAATGATCCTGGAGTTTGAGGAAGAAACTCATGAACCTGGATTTTCAGGCAGCCTGCTGTTAAATCACAGGATCATGCATTCAAAAAGCAGCAGTGGTCCCAGGTAACTTGGAGGGAAGGGAATATAAACCACCCCCTATTGCCACCATCATTTCCCAAACCCATCCCAAATAATATTATTCTTTGACATAGGCAATTGTTGCTCTCTCATACTTACTTAAAGGATAAATAAAACCATTTAAAAAAAAAAAACATGCCTAGTCTTAACCAACTAAGACAGCATGCTTGCTATACGAATTCAGCTTTAAGAACAGTTCCCAGTTTCCTTCTCACCTGACTGCCACGCCTAAGCCCCAACTATGTAGGATTCTGGAGCAGGCATTTTCAATAAGGACTTTGGTGACAAAAAGAATGTCTTCTCTGTCATGCAAGAAGAGTGAGTGGAGAAACACACAATGGCTGTATCAGCCATGTCTAATAAAGAACTAGGGCAGGCAGCTCTAGCTCAGCAAGACAAAGTAGAACCCATTCTGCCCCAGCAATTGCAGAGCTTATTGATTTTGCCACTTCATCACTTCTTTGCAAGCCACTACCAGTAGGAAAGCAATGCAAAAGACTTTCATGCACTCAAATATCCACTCGTGGTAAAAAATGTATCTCTAAAAATAAATTCTCTCCAGCTTCTGAAAGCATGTGAAGACATACCTTTTGACTGAGAAATGATTAATTCTATGTTGTCAGGAGAATTCTGAATCATTCTAACAGCCATGTCAAACGTGAAGCCCTCCAGACTGATGTGATTCAAGGCTAGTATCTGTCCCCCTGGAAAAATAAAGCATCTCAATAATACCATCAAGGAAATAAGAAAGAGCAGTTCTTTAAAGTTGCATCTCTGGCAGTTTAAAAAGATATACCTGGTTTGATCTTTTTAGCCTTTTCAGCTGGTCCTCCAGGTATAATAGAGGATATAAAGATCCCAGGATCAACTTTTCCCACATCTTCTCCCTCATTAATGACAAAACCTGTAATCCAATGATATTTTGAAAAATGATACTTGATGATTTTGCAGGTCAGAAAGGTTAGGTTATTTGCTTGAGATCACACAACTACCAAGTGGCATCATTGATATTTGTACATAGGTCTTCTGACCCTCATACAGCTCTTTCTACTATGCCGAGACAGATGGAGAAAAGTGGATTGCACTGTTAGCAAGCCCAGCTAAAGGTAGGAACACAGCCCATCGATGTGCACTGGATTTGCTCCAGTAGGTAATCAGAGATAGGAAAGAGATAATTTTCATCATGTACTTTGTCTCCTCGGTGTCTTGTTTCTTATGTGGTTTTAAGGGTCTTCAAATGTTGTAAAGAGTAAGAGGTAAACAAGATTGACTATTCCTCCTCATTTCTAAGAATCTAAATACACTAGAAAAAGGTTGTTACATGATATTAGAGGGGAAAGTCCTTTTCTATCTTATACTCAGATTCTTACAATATGCACTCCAAAACCTAATCAGGCCTAAAAGGAAAACTTTGACCCCAAAGTTCCACTGCTCTTTAGGAATACTTAAAAAAAGGAAAAAGCAGAAATGATCACTGAAAAGGCAGATTGGAAGAGGAGAGGCAGAGAAGGGGGCACAGAAAAGTCAAAAAGGAAGCTGGCACACACTTCCCCTTGGCCTAGAGGGAAAGACTGGGTCTCACCTGCCAGGAACTCTCTTACCAAAACCACGATGTGGATCACGGTTCAGTGTCACATGCACTATTTCTCGATCCAGTTCAGCTGTGAAACTCTTTCTCTTCTTTTGTGACCCTAGAAATCAAAACAGAGCCTCACACTATGTTTTTAACCCAAATTATCTGAGACCTAACACAACAGAGGTGAACGGTACATCATACATGTGCTCAGGCCTGTATTTGCATGTGTGTGCACGTATATACACACACACACAATACTGGGAATGCATCACTGAACACATACTTCTCATGAGCTCACTGGGTCA